CCCCCATTGGTTAATAAATTCAAAATGGGATTCAAAAGTGACCCCCCCCCTCATTCCTCTGCTTTGATTTAATAATTCATCTTTACAGTCTGTTTTAGATATTTGTGATGGTTCACTCGTGCCTCCTCTCCTTCCCTTTTAATTTCCTTTCTCGCATGAAGCAGGCTAGCAGTTCAGAAAAGCTCTCAGAAAACAGCCAAAAAGTCTCCCTCTTTGGTCTCTTCCTTTTTTTAATTACACAACTCCGATTAAGCAAAATATTAGTGCCAATGAGTATTCAGGAGTTTTCCATTAACACCGATATTAACCAAGGCTTTGGTCTTATATATTACCACACCCTCGCTGTCTCTGAGAGGGAATTTCAGATGGACACTTCCTCATCTTACATGTGTTTTCATGCATTAATAAACAAGATCCAGATCGGGATCGGGTTTCAGCCACAACGGCATGAAGTAAGACCTGCAGAAAGCTGGGTAAGTACACCTTTAGAGCCACGCAATGAAAATCACCTTTTTTAATTGAAATGATAAATGTATCCAGTTAATTACAACTTAATGAATGTCTCTTGGATGATACATAGCACAGTTTGTTTTCTTTTCATACGCCTCCTTGTTTGAACAAATTGAAATGAGATTGTGTTTTGGTGCTCTTGCTCAGCGAAGGTTGTAGGTGCATTGGGATTAACTACTGTTACAAAAAGATCCCTCCCTCCCCCTTCACACACATATGTGCACACACTCGTATCCCCCTCCCCGGTGTTTTAGTTTTCTCTGCAAAGGGGCAAATCCAGATTACAGAGCCTCCCTAAGTGAAGGAGATCAGAGGAGATTTGTGAAAGAGGGGGAAGGTGCTGTATTTTACTGACAGTAAGATGCATATAGATAGAACTGTAATATAAATGGCCAGATTAAATTATACTGAGGGTCTGTACAAAGTGACGCATTTCACTCATTCATTTTGAGGCCAGATGTTGCGTGTGGATTTCATCATGCATTCTGCAATCACAATTTTCATTGTCCTGCATTTTACGTACAGACAGCAGGTCTGACTGATCCCAAATCAAAGAGAGTGAGGCACTGTCAGTAAGCACCACAGAGCCATCAAGGACATTTCACAGAGAGTTGGGCAGCAGTTGCGTGGTGGCTCTGCTGCAAGCATTGGGCCTGGAGGATTAGTGTCCAATCAGAGTGGATTTGATGTTTACTGACAGCACATGGGACTTAGCTGGGAGACCTGTATTTCATTTGTTTTCAATGAAGCTGTACGTCTTGCCTGGCCTCCCCTCCCCTCGCCATCACTCGGCCAAACTACGTTCTGAGACCTGTTGACGGCAGCGCATCAGCAGCAGCTTCAGGTAGGTGTCTCTGAAAGAGCGGGTAAGGGATTTGGGAATGGAATCAAAATCACTGGCATTACCATGATCACGATACTCATCACCATCACCAGATACGCTCGTATCTGGTTCACATGACGTCACAGTTGGATGTGGAATTAAACAGGCTTTATTTAGGTGTAATCCCTCATAGCAATCGGCAGAGCAAGTAAAATGTCCCGGAGAAGGGACAGCTAAACCCTATTGGATTAGTACAAGCCCCTGCCCATCCCAACCTATAACCCAACCTATCCACTTCTTCCCCCCCCCCCCCCCTTTTTTTTTTTTTTTTGGATGAATGTTTGCTGGCTAGCTCAAGCATGCACTCTGTTTCTGTGTCTTCTACCTCTGCAGTGTTTGTGTGGTTTGGTGTGATGTGGATATGTTTGTGTGTGGTGTCCTCTTTCCTCATGCGCAACAAGCCAGCATGGCCAGAGATTAATTATTCAAGGGCTGCCAGCAAAGGGGGAAGTCACCTGATAGCACGGACTTACAATATTACAAACAGATATCAGGTGAAACGCTAGACTTTGCTTCATCTTCATCCTTTCTCACTCCGTTCTATTTTTTTGTTGCTGCTGTACATGAAGACCTGAAAGAGAACTTTCTCTCTCTCACACACACTGCCTGTTGGGAGCTCTTTATTTTTTCTATTTCTGTGTTTTTTTTCTTTCCTCTGTTAACAGATTTTCAGCTTTTTTTCTTTTTCGCCAATGCTTGTCCCTAACAAAGTGAGCCTCGGACGCTCCCACAGTTGGGACACGTTAGGGGGGAATGAGGGTCAGTGGGAAAGACCTGACAGCGTGTACGAACAGCAGGCAAGAGTAACAGGCCGGCGGAGCTCTTTGTCATACGGAGAGGGAGGAGGGTGGTATGAGCCACCACCTGGGGTGCGTCTTCCTGACCTCGATTTGAAACGCGACCCATATTCCTACCAAGATTCCCTTTACGGACAGGTTTACGCCGAGAGACACGACCCACGGGGGCTTAGGAAGGGCTCTGTGCCAGATCTAAACCACTACGAACGAGTGCCCATGGCTCATCGAGGATCCATTCCACACCAGGACTACTACTCCCATGACCCAGCCATGACTCCTCGGCCACCGGAGGCCTTTTACCGATCTGAGCATCAGCCTCCGCTGCCTCATCCTCTCAGCAGGTCGGGCTCACATTTAGGAATGACACCTGGGGCTCGTACTGCGTGGGATCAAGGTCAGGTAGTGCGGGCTGGATCTCAAGGGCCCCCATCACCTTTACCTCCTCCTCCTCCTCCAAGCACTCATGAATTGAATAGGGCATATAGAGAACCTGGTGCTATAACTTCTGCTAAGATATCCCTTCGAGACCCCCCTCCTGCTCACTATGGAATGGAGCAGCCGTCTCCTCGGTATGCCAGTGAGCCTCCGCCTCTGACAAGTCAGTCCGTTTATACTGATGCTAATGGCCGCCCTCTGGATCCGCAGCAGCAGGCTGCCACCTGTCTAGTGGTAGATCCAGCCAGTCAAAGCATGATTATGAGGCAAGAGACAGCCTCACCGTTAACCATCCAGCAACAGCATCAATTACAGCATCAGCAACAAATACAGCAGCAACAGTTACAACAGCAGCAACAAATACAACAGCAACAGTTACAACAGCATCAACAAATACAACAGCAGCAGTTCCAACAGCAACAACTTCAGCAGCAGCAGTTACAGCAGCAACAACTACAACAGCAACAAATACAACAACAGCAAATTCAGCAACAGCATCTTCAGCAAGAACAGTTGCAGCAACACCATCTGCAACAGCAACAACCTCAACCTCTGCCACCTCCGCCTACCATGCCGGTCACTGACCCTAACCTTTCTATGGCTGCACCACTTCCTGCTCCACCTACTCCAGTCCATACTGCAGCAATTGCCCCTGCTGCACCTCCACCTCTGCAAGTGGTTCCAACTCCAGCCCCTCCTCCCCCAGCTACTCCACTCCCTGCCCCTCTTCCCGCTCCTCCACCAACCGCCCCACAGACTCCTTTGCCGGTGGATCCCAAGAAGTCGGTCGATCCAGAGTTTCTTTCTCTGTTGCGAAACGAGGGCCTCTCAGAGAGCACCATCTCCTCACTTATCCAGCAGGGGTTTGACTCCACTAGCATGCTGGCTGTCATGGAGGAGAACGATGTCCGCACAGTTGCCCCAAACCTCGGTCAGGCTCGTGTGCTGTCTCGCCTGGTCCACCATTACAAGCGCCCAATAGAAGCTACACCAGCCCCCTCCCAACCTCAAACGCCCATGCGAGGTCGCTCTAATAGCTTTAGCCATCGCGCAGACATCTATCAACCACACCACCACCATCATCATCCACCACATACCCCACAACCTTTAGCAGTAGATCCCCAACTAATGCCCCCACCAACACCTGGGGCCATGCAAACTATCTCTCCGCGGATGGGAGAAGTAATCGGTAGAAGGCCCAGCAGTGCTCCCTCGCAGCAGTTACTGGAAGCCTCTGGAGGATACCCGGGCCAACCCACTCGTTCACCAGGGCCATACGCTGGAGCCCTCATGCCTGTCCAATCAAGACCCATGTCAGCCTACTCTTCTGGGATGCCAGGGTTGCCTATGCCAGGTATGCAGATAATGCCTCACCAGATGACTGGGTCAATGCCTGCCATTGCGGGGTCCATTCACTCGATGCCAGGTATGCCACAGCAGATGCCTATATCCATGCCTGCTTTACCACAGCCACCGCAACAGGTACCAAAAGCATACTCTACCAACTACACAGTGCCCATAGAGCTGATGAAGAGGGACAGGAACTTAGTGCCATTGTCACCCATGCACAGCCCTCACCCTAGTCCTCAGCTGATCCGAAAGGGTGGGGGACCAGGATCAGACAATGCTCTCGTTCCCGTGGGAGCACCCGTTCAAGGCCAAGGTGCCCTGGCTGCTAACCAGAAGCTAAGTCGACGCACGGGTCCACCAGTCATCGTGTCGACTATGGCATCTCCAGATACAAGTAAATCCTATTTTTTTCTCCTTTTAGATTTATCTGGTATTTGTCTGTTTTCATGATAGATGTGCTCTTGGCTGTTTCACATGTTTTCAATAGATAAGGCTGTTTACTTGTGACAGAGCTCTTCATTTTGTGTGTGATTTATGTAAGATACCAGTTCCCATTCCTCTCATTGCTTTCAGGAGCAGCACAAAGCAGTGCTGCTGCTTTGTTAGAAATCATATCAACTTATAAATATTACTTTGACATTTCTAAGAGCCATTCAGCAGTTGTTTCTTTAAAAAAAAAATAAAAGGAGAAGACACTGTAAATCTATTTTCATCCTTCGTCGTGATGAATCATGTGTAAGTGAATACCAGATAAGCCTTCGCTTTATACCAGCATACTTTGCTTTATACCAGCATTCAGACTAGGGGTATGTGAAATCTATTTAGCTCAGCATGGATACTGGTATGCTATGCATGATTCTTGACCTTAAAAAAATCCAAACACAGTTTGAATGTTAATGGAAGACTTTTTGAATCGTTTTATCTTTCTGGTCTGTGCTGTCATTTGTTTCCTCTCCTGTCTTGGCACTAATTACATCAACAGTAGATAAATGATGTGTCTTTTCTTGCTGCCCTTGTCTATTTTTTATAAAGCTGCTGTCCAGATTTTGAATTATTACCATAAAAGGATAACTTTTTGCTTTAAGCATTCTTGTAATCTACCCCACGTCCTAAGCCGATACTTACATCTCACTTTCTCGTCTGCTTATCTCTGCGAGAGCCTGATTTGTCAGAATTCCTGTTACTTTCTCTGAAGACCTTTTGTCATTTCACTAATCTCATGCAGTTCCTTTGTCAGAATGAGATATCGCCCATTAAATACAACACAAATGGCATTGACGAGGCGCAATATAGAGGATTTGGGAGGAACAGCTGTCAGCAGCCTTTCTGATATGTTTTAAAATTTAACAACTGTGCACGGTCTTCATGTTACAGTCTGTCAGTCACCGCATTCATGTGTGAACAGTTCACATTAGGATTTCTTTGACTAGAGAAGTCAGATGTTGTGTGCAATTACTGTGTGGGAGCAGGAGGTAGCTTGTGTGTACATCTGTGTGCAGTATGTGGGATTGAGTTTGCCACCGACTCCTTCTGCAGATATGCTTTTTTAAAATAATTTAGCTCTTATCTGCTGTATCAAATGGTAACTATTTGGCGCAAAAGCAAAATCAACAGGCTATTTAAGAAAAAAAAAAGAATTTGTTCTGCCACAACTGTATAGGATTCAAGATGTTGCATAATGGTGATTGCAGCATTAGTTGTGTAGCTCTTCAGCTGGGGTGTCATTGTAACTGCAGCTGTTTTTGATCACATCCTCTTTTTCTGTGCCTTGCACCATCTCCCCATGGCCCCTGAGCCCTTGTTGCAGTAAACACAGATATCTTCCCTCATTGTGATAATAAGGATGCATCACGGTAGCCTCGAAAAGCTTTATAGCCACTCGGGCCACACAGCATTCCTTCAGGCCCTTCTGCCTGCCAAGGTGTACCGCCAACCTGCGTAGAATAGCAATTAGTCTTACCTTGTTCCTCATGAACAGATCTGCTAATTCATTTTATTTCTGAGACTCCTCTTTGTTTCTGTTTTTTTTAGTGTTTATTTAATGGGTTGTGTCCCAAATTCACTTTTCAATTCCAGATTAAATAAAATGCATTCAGTCAATTCATCCTCATTGTGTAGTCGGTCAGATTTATTTGGATATCAGATTAAAGCTTTAAATCAGCACAAGAGTGGCTACCTAAATTATATTTAAATCCCATGGCCTGATAGAAGTTGATTTTATAGGCTGGGCAATAAAGGCCGATTTCTCCATCAGCACCAGCTCACCCGAGGCTGACTAGCAGCATCACTGGTCAGATAAAATCGAATTACACTGCTGATGGCCGATGTGTGATTGTGTCATTCTCTCTTTGCAGGTTCTGATGAGTACAGGGAGTGAGGCTTAATCCTTCCTTTGCTGCAGTAATCCATAGATAGTCCCATTTTGCTCAGACCAGCCTTCTGGCTTTCCGTGAGACCTTCTGTACATAGATAGTGGATTGAAATAGACTTAAAATGTACAGGACAGGCTGGATACACATTATTGAACGGAGACAGCTTTGTTGTCCTCTTGTGTGTGTGTGTTTTGTTCCTTTGTTTTCTTTTGTTTTTAAGCCCAAAAGAGCAGACATTAAAAGAACCCCACTGCTTGATAGTCAAAATATGCTTTGGAAACAGATTTCTTCATGTCTGCGTCATACACATATATCACATTGTTAGTACACACACAGTCAGCAGAGTAGACCTCATTTGCATGTGGCTGACATTTGTTGCTTTGGTAATTTCATCTGTTAATGGACACGTCCGCAAAAGCTGCTCTGAAAGCATGTTCCTAAATTGTACGTTGCTAGGCAACATGGGTTTTGGTGGTAATCGTAGGCAGATTTGCTTTTGGTTAAAGGGTCGCTCCATTGTCATAAAACACTGCAAATTTACTCCATCCGTTTTTTCCTTATACAAAAAGGCAGGCTGAGCTAATGCATTTAGAAAAAAAAATGCAAAAAAATCATCCACTTATTTTGGGATGGCTAAGTAGTTATTTGGAGGTTTTGGTTACTTTTTTCCAAAAAAGATAGCATAATTCAGACTTAGCAATATAGTATGTTTCAGCCTGTCAGGTAAAATGTTGTAATGTTGTTTTATCAGGTAACACTATTAGTCTTAATAGCAGCATTAACTCCAGGCAGGTGAGGTGTTTCTGGTTTTTCCAACCAAGAGAATTCTTAAAGGTAGACTCGGGACACACTAGAGAGATGAGGTCTCACAAGTGGCTCGATATCACCCCTGAAGAGCCGAAAATGGTTGCTGGGGAGATGGAGGTCTGTCCCTACAACCTGAATCTGGACAAGTAATAGAAAATGGATAGATGGCAGCAATAATGCTTCTCTAACATTTTTTGTTGAATAAGTTATGAGATTGTAAACTGGATATTCTGAATACCTCAAATAATTCATTAGCAATATGTTGCATCCAGAAGCAGAAAGAATTTCCCTTTGAATTAATAGCTCATGTGTAAATGCAGATGGCATGGCCCCACCAACCTCACTATATGATGCTTTATGGAATACCCTAGAGCAGGGATAACTAGGACACCCCACCCCCAAACTGGCATAAACACAATATAAGCTACTCTAGGACTCTACCTTCTTTACTTCCACCCCTGCTGAGGGCGTTGACCCCCTCATCACGGACTTTGGCCAGGTGACTCAGTGCCAGTTCACGTCAGCTTTGCTTTGCTCTGCAATGCATGACTGACACACTAGCCGCAATTTTCTTGCTTGCTTAGGCCTGGCACGATGGTGGGGGAGGGTTGTGGCATGTTCGTTCTGGAGATAGCAGATTATGTATTAACGGGGTCCAGGTCAAAGCTACAGACAGTTGTTAAACTGACTGAGGGATTAAGTAAAAGGGAGAGAGAGCGATGGAGAGAAAGTGACATAGTTCTGCTTCTGATAGATGATGAGTTCAAGCTGCACAGTGGGGTGGGGAAACGGGGCGTTGACAGCTGTCAGTCAACCTTAAACTCTCCATAGAGATGAGGTTGGCTGTCAATCTTTCATCTGGCTTTTGAAGGTCACATATTGGCCTAAATCTGGGTGGCAGTCAAAGGTTGTTTTGTTTGGTTGGTTGGTTTTTTCTGGCTAGCCACCATGTTCCTTGCTCACAATTATTTTTTTTTTACCCACCAAATAAATGCCATGCATCCATACATGCATAGTGGAGAGGTTGCCAGTCTAGCATAGGACTCTAAAAAGTGCTTAAGAACGTTTTTAAAAAAGGATTAAACAATTCAGTTTAATTCACTTGTATTTATATGGCAACAAATCACAACAACAGTCACCTTAAGGCACATTATGTTTTAAGGTAAAGACCCTACAGTGATACAGTGAAAACTCCAACAGTCAGAAGACTCCCAATGAGCAAGCAATTGGCGACAGTGAGAAGGAAAAACTCCCTTTTAACAGGAAGAAACGTACAACAGAATGAGGCTCGGAGGGGACAGCCATCTGCATACATGAACCACATTATTATCATTATTATGTAAGGCTAAATCATTCACTACTTTAAACCACCACTTTATTTGCATCAGAGTGAGGAAGGAAGTTGATTTAAGGGACTTTGAATGCAGCATGGTTGTTAGTGCCAGACAGGCTGTGCTGAGTATTTCAGAAACTGCTGATCTACTGGGATTTTTTTTCCCCCAGAACCATCTCTAGGGTTTACAGAAGATGGTCAGAAAAGCCAGTGAGCATCAATTCTCTGGGAGAAAATGCCTTATTGAAGGTGACATTACTTCAATCTCATAGACAGGCAACAGTAACTCAAATAACCACTCGTTACAACCAAGATATGCAGAAAAGCATGTCTGAACACAGCACATCAAACCTTGAAGCTAAGGAGTACAGAAGCAGTAAACCACACCGAGTATCACTCCTGTCAACTAAGAACAGGAAAGGAGGCTACAGGTTATATTGGCTTGTGAAAGTTTGACAATAGAGGAAAAATTCTGCCTTATCCGATGAGTCTTGATTGTTCCTGCAACATTCGGACGGTAAAGTTAGAATTTGGCTTAAACAAAATGAAAGCAAGGTTCCATCCTGCCTTGTATCAGGAGTTCAGGCTGTTGCTGGTGATGCAATGGTGTGAGAGATACTGTAAATTGATAGGCTTCTTTGCATACAAAGTAAGTAGAGGCATCACCTGTGATCCTCAATTGCTTTGTTAAGAAGAATCAAATTACTAATTGTAGGACAGTTTGGGATGAATTCAGTTGCTATGCTGTTGGATCTTGTCTTATTGGATCTTATCTCTTATTTATACCCCTTACTGGACCCTACGCCACAGCAGCCAAGACTACCGGGAGTGATAGTACAGTGTGCAATGTTATTAAAAACTGAAGTGCTTGATAAAAATGCA